CACGACACTAAATTTTCTCGTGTCACTATCCCCTTTTCATCGGGCTTAACTTGTACTCCAACACCCCATATCTCCTCTAGGCATTTTGCATTTGTTGGTTGATCTGTCCATTGAGGCATACCCACAACAGGTACTCCCAAACTTAATGTTTCAAGAGTTGAATTAAACCCACAATGTGTTACAAAACATCCTATTGACTCATGTGCTAACACCTCCACTTGTCTACACCATGTTACAACCAAACCCTTACTTGCCACATATCCTTTTGGTAGTTTTTCCTTTTCGGTTTCCCTTACAACCCATAAGAAATTTGTGTCACTCTCATTTAAACCCCATGCAACTTCTTCCATTTGTTTGGGTTCAAGTTTGCCACCACTCCCAAATGACACGTAAACTACTGATCCCTTTGGTTTGTCGTTTAGCCATTTCATGCATTCAATATGGTTTGGTTTAAAGAGACTCATCCCGTAATCAAAGTCGTCTTCCAGCTGTTTGTCAAGGTACATTGATGGAATCGTTGGCCCTATTGCCTTCAATGCCCACATCTTTCTCATCCAATCTATCACCTAAATCAAACACACAAGAATGAAGATCACGCGACACGTTACAACAATTGTACATGTAAAAAAAAATGATCAAAAGTTGGGACATGCTGGAAAAACAAAACCGAACCAAAAACTAAAGATATTAGAAAATTATACCCGGAATTAATTAATACATTGGTTTTCTATCTATGAAAAAACAAAATTTAATGATTGGTTCGTTTTTGTTTTAAAACCAAAAATGAAAACTTAAAAACGCCAATTTAACATGAGATAATTTCTTACTTCTTTCTAGTTCCATTGTACTACATATTCGAAACAAATAATAGATAATTTCATAGGGCTTAAAGAAGAGATTGAAAGCCATTGTTGACACTATTCAATCAAAGAAAGAATCTGATCCTGAGTGTTGTCACAAATATATGTTCACCAGCGATTAAGCCAAAGAATAAAAAGAAAACTAACCTGTTCCTCGAGTTTGTAGAACGTAGTTGAGAAGACCCAACGGGCGAGGTGAATATTGGAGAACTGGTTGAACACACCATGAGCCCAACCAGGGTATGATCCTGGATCTTGAACAAAAGACGGCGTCTCCCATGGTTGAAGCTGAAGGGGCAATCCAGGAAGCGAAACAGTAGCAACAGGTGGGATCGAAAGAAGCTGTTTATGAACATGATAATAGATGTTGTATACAGCACAAGCTTGAGTAAAGAAACAACCACCATTGATTCCAAACTGCATTGCCACATCCAAAGCCCAAACGAAGAAGGAATCATAAACGATAGCATCAATGGGGTTTCCCTCACTCTCGAGCTTCTTGATCAGATTAGCTAGTGATTTCGACCCCACTTCCCGGAACTTCTGGACGTAGGCTTCGGAGCTGTCGGCGCTCAAGTATCCACCCTCGTCAAATCCATCGGAAATGGGTTCGATTGGTATGGAGGTGTTTGAAGAGGGGGATGTTTTTGAGATGTAGATGGTGGTTACGAGCGTTGTTTTGACACCTTTGGAGAGTAGGCGTTTAGCAAATTGGATGAGGGGGTTAATGTGGCCTTGCGATGGGAAGGGGAAAAGGAGAACATGAGGTGGCTTGGAATTGGATGATTTATGTTGTTCCGCCATTGCTGTTCTTGTTATTCTGGTTAATTTGAGGTATAAATGGGTCGATAATGACGTCAGTGCTAACGTCACTGCTAAAAGTAAAGTTAACCAACGTATAATTTTAAAGAAAAAAAAAAGGTATTTCATTTATTTCGGGGATGCTAAGATATTAATCATTATGTGAAAATTTCGAAAAGAGTTGTCGACATTGTGAGTATTCTTGAATTTGGGACCTTCCTTATGTGGAGCTACTGGCCATTAGGTGATGGTTTAAAGTTATTTTTGAATGAGTAGTTATTTTTAGAAATTAGTATTATAAAGTTAGTATAGGATTTTTTTGTTTTTTTATAACACATAAGTTTAGAATGTCTAGCACAAAAAAGGTAAGAAGTAGAAGTGTGACAATTTAATAGGTTTAATTTTGGAGAAAAAAATTAACATATATAAAGAAATACAAATTAGCTAATCACAACACCCTTCATACTTTCTCTCTCCTCTTTCCTCATGTTACACCCATAACAACATCTTCTTAACACCCTCCTTAGCATAAGGTAGGGGATGGTGTAGCATACTTAGCACCTCCTTTAACACCTCCCACTCTCTATAGCTTTATAAAGTTAGTAGAATTCGTTAAAGTTCGGACTAGAACTTGAGATCTTCAATTTAAGAGGCAAAACTTGTATCACGTGGGCTAGTCTCACATTGGCAAATGGTGGTTTAAAGTTAACCCACAAAACTCACCGGGTATTTGCCCTTCTGGTAGATAAATAAACCTTCCGACTTTAATTTGTAACTATGATCGGTGTTGAATTGGTGTCTTGGCTCAAATGAGCTTTCTACCTACTGATTTTCCAAATCATGTGTATAAGTGCTTGATAGTTGATTATTTAAAATGTTTATTTGTTTAATGGGGTTTAATAATGATAATAAATATTTTTAGGTGTTTGGAGATGCTAAATATAACAAAGGGTGTTTCGCAAAAAAAATTATTGTTTATTAGCTTATAAGCTAATAATTTAAAGGTAGTTAATTTATGAAAAAATGACTTATTAGCGGGTTGTCACCGATATAAGTTGTTTTTTATCGAAATATGTTTTTAACTTATAACGGTGTGGAACCGATAATAAGATAATAAACTCTTTTGCCAAACACCCCTAAATAGTAAGTTTTTAAATAAGATATAGCCAGGGGACGGATGGAGTAGGGGGGCTAGTGAGTGGTTTGCCCCTAACTCATTTGGTATAAGTGTATTACAAGTCCACCGTCAACATGTACAATTTCTTTCACTTAGAATTTACTTAATATAAAGGTATTAGATGGTACAAGTAACAGTACACAATTTACAATTACTATTCTTTAATTATAATCTGTTTTCATGATTTACGATTTACTATGTATTATTAAATTAAAACTAAATAATTTACTATTCTTTAATTATAATATGTTTTCATGATTTAAGATTTACTATGTATTATTAAATTAAAAAAACTTGTACATACCATAAAACATAAAAAATAGTGGAATCCTTTAAAACTAAATTATATGATATGACTTCCTAAAATCACGTATAAAAAATAAATTTTATATATATATATATATATATATATATATATATATATATATATATATATATATATATATATATATATATATATATATATATATGACAATGTAAGGTCCTGTTTGATAAACATCTTTTCAAGCCCATAAAGATCTTTCCAGCTGAATGGCCCGAAAAGATGTTTGATTTGCATAAAAAATTTCATCTTTCCAGATAAGATGGGTCCTTCCAAAAAGCTACAAGCCCAAGTCTGGACGGAAAAGAAACACGCGTGAGACAATTTTGCCCTAACAAAAAAAACGTCTTGCCATCGTCTCCATCTCGCCTCCAACATTGTTCTTTTTTTTTTGTTTGAAGATCGTCATTCTCTCTTCCATTCACCAAAGATCAAGAATCGTTCTTGATAAATCTACTTCATCATCGTCTCCACCCCCACAGCTCCGACTAGGTTCTTCTTCTTCTTCTTATATTTTTTCTGATTCTATTCTTCTCAATCGATGTCTATCAGCCCTCATTTTTTTCTTATGATTTCTTTCCAACCTATGAATCTGATTCAATAGTTCTATTGAATCAGATGTTTTTTTTTTCTTATATGCTTTTTTTTCTTATGATTTCTTTCCAACCTATGGAGAAATTGACCGTTGTGATTATTTAATTATTTTTTGTAATTACAACCATTCGAAAAACATGTGGATTGTTATTATTAAATCAAGTTTGGTTAGAAACGCTATTTAGCAGGATCTGAATTTTAAAATCTTAATTTTTAAGAGAGTCTGAATTTTTAAGATCTGAACTTTTAACATGTCGTTTGGTTGGAACCTCTAAATTGTAATCTGAAAGATAAAAATGACTATTTTACTTTTCTATAGTTATGTGTTATGCTAAATGATAAATACATAACATAAAAATTACAAGTGATCATACAATAACCAATTGAAACATAAATTCATTCAAATTCACTTCTTTCAATCCATTGAAACATAACATCATACAATATAATCAAATTAAACATAAACTCTTCCGAATTCAATTATTTCAATCCATGACAACATAACCATCATACAATATAACCGGGTTCAACCCATATGTCTTTGAATTTTTGAACCAAAGACCTTCTACTTCGGACACATTTAAGAAACAACCAAACATTTTATCACTCTTTTATCAGCAAAAAAATTAACCAAAACAGATATACACACACATCTTCCATTTCAATTACCTTGTAAAATGGTTTGATGATGAGGTGGATTGCGTTCCATGTGAGGATACCCTATAGCTTAATAGACGAGTCGTGTATATATATATATATATATATATATATATATATATATATATATATATATATATATATAGTTTATAAAGATATTTTAATGTTAAAATAATTAATGATAAAGATATTTATGAAAGATATGTATCAATATAAAGATATTTTAATATTATCTTTTAATAAATGAATATTAAAATAATTGATGGTACGACTTCTTTAGAGTCCCACTTCCTTACTAAAACTAAAGTTAAACTAATTTTTTTATAAAAAGAACGTTCCCTTTCTAAGGGTTCTTTTAAAAAAAAGTTCTAAGATTTTGTAAATTATTTGGATACGTCTATCAGATGGTTTGCGTCTGAATGCATTAAGCCGGGCTTTAAAAAAAATTAACTTCAAACCAATTGCTAGCTAGCCAAAAGTGATAAACAACAGTAAGCTGAAAAATAGCACTTTGACCAAAATGCCCCTGATCCATTAAATGATAATTGAGAGAAATGAAACAGACCAATGATAAACTCAGAAAAAACTTGAGGAGTCTCCTTATTACGCAGATCAATTTCACAGTCAACAGAATGGTAAAAAAGAAAGAAAAATGCCCTTACAGCCTTAACCAAACCTGCCTAAAACTGTGTAAAAAGCTTTTACTTCTTTAGTTCTTTCCCTTTTTCCTTTTTGTATTCCAATCTCGCCCTTTCATGATCAAAAAACTATGTAATAACTTGCAATCTTTAAGATTGACTAAATTGCCCTTTAATAGCATAAACAGTTCCTGATTTTGAAGAAAAACCTGCACCAATTCCAATTATGGAATGATGTGAAGTTAGTTGTAATTGTAAACCTAAAAACGGAAAAAGAAATAACAACTTCTTCTTTTGGTCAGTTGACATGATGACCGTTCCAATCAGGTTTCTATTCACTTATCAACAAATAATAATAAAAGGGAAATACAAACATATGGGCTCAATTTAGAACCATAAGATTATATCATAATTTAAATTAAAATTAAAATATATACCTAACTCTGCAGCCTTCATTGCAGCATCTATACATGCCCGAGATTTTCCTCCATTTTTTTAGTTTTGAGGTTGATAGAATAAGTTGCGTCCAAGCATTACTTACACAGTTGATATTTGGTCTTTGACCTTCAAACGGTAGCTGCAAAATCATAATAAAAGAAGAAAGAGATATTAATATAATAATATCCCATAAATAACGCAGTAAGAAACTTTAATGAGAATTTTGTAGAATAAGAAAGCAATTGTAGTTTAATGATAAGAAAAATGATAAATAAATCAACAAATAAAAGAAAACTATTATGTTAAACATATGCACTCTTGAACATTATCCGTAGACACAATGTCAAGAGCCACTTTAATGCATGACTGTATACCATAATTCATATATGAACCAATAATATAACTGTATAGCTTTCTAAATTAAGTAAAAAAAAAAAAAAAAGAATCGAGCGTGATCTAATCTAACCTGTCTATTTCTAACTTCATGTGGACAACCTGCAGAGATGAAAACAACTTCATAAACGTATTGTTCAAATGTCTATGGCTCCACACCTGAAAGTTACAACCAAGAATCATCATCAGTTCTAGCACCACCATATTCAATATTACAACCACCATCATCACTTTTTCATGGATCCACATATTTTTGAAACACAAAAATTGGATTAAGAAAGCAAACTAAGCAAGAAAAGGTAGATTTGGCTGTGAAATTTCATCAAATACCTGGTGGGTACTAAAGTCAAGAAACTTAGAAACTCCATTTATTCTCTTCTGTGGATATACCAACCACAAACACAAAATGAAGGTGAGACAAGAAATGGAACAACTTTCTAAAAACCAAAACTCCATTGGTCTGCTATTATCAGTCGACGTTGTATGCGAAGGGGGGAAGACGATTTTTGTGGAAAAGAAAAGCAATAGCGGATATTGCTAATACAATCCACCCACCGAGCAGAGAAGACCAAACAGAGAAGAAGTAGAAGGTCGATTCGAATCTGGAGCACCCCTACTCAAGAACATGAAGAAATGGAGGCGACTGAGTAGTGCTAGCTTTGGGGCAAATCAGTGTAAGAGACTTCGGAATTAGTGAGAGAAAGCCCTAATCTTCAGCTTCGCTTTGAGGTGGAGAATCGGCTTCTGGTATGAAGGGAGCTTCCGTAGGGTAAGGATTAATCTAGATGAGCCGGTGGAGGAAAGAAGCGTAATCAGGGGTGGTATATGTTGTCAGTTTGTAATTGGAAGCAATAGGAGGTCGAAAGCAGAACATAAGAACATAAGGCTCGAGGGAGAGGTGCCACCGAAACCGCACTTCCTTCACCGCCACATATGCGCCACCGAAACCGCACTTCCTTCACCGCCACATATGCGCCACGTCGGTTTCATGCCACACCAAAGGAGTGGGATTATGGAAAAGAGAGAGAAAAGAAAAAAAATAGAAGAAGGTGATTGGTTGAAAGATGAAAGAGAGAACAAATAAAAGAGGAGAAATAGAGTGAAAGTGCAGCAAAAATCTACCGCACCTAACCGCAGTCAGGGGGCGGTGTTCCCATGCCTATGTGGCAAAAAGTGCGGTAAAGAACCGCACCACTCCCCACAGCCTAACACGTACCAAGATCTGTATCATACTGTAACACCCATAAAATTTGAGTCAATTTAAAACATTTTAATTCATTCAAAAACCATTACGTTCATACATTTCGTTTTCAAAATAGTTTAAACATCATAGTATCCCCCAGAACCATATCACATAAATCATAAAACATGAGGAGCGGTACGATCACGCCTTCGCCTTGCCACGATCTCCTGAAGTACCTGAAACAATACACTGAAACTGTAAGCCCGAAAGCTTAGTGAGTTACCCCCAAAATACCAACCACACATAAACATACTCATAACATATCACAATACAGAACAACCATGCACATCGGGTCTACTATGTGACTGGTCCGCCCGCCCCGGGCCTTCAGTCCACCTGGTCCACCCTCCGAGTCTAGCCATGTACATCGAGTCTACAGTGTGATTGGTCCGCCCGCACCGGGCCTTCAATCCACCTGGTCCACTCTCTGAGTCTACAGTATGACTGGTCCGCCCACACCGGGCCTTCAGTCGGTCTGGTCCACTCTCCGAGCCTCGGCACGTCTGGTCCGCCCTCTTGGGGCCTTCAGCCTATCCGGACCGCTCGCTGGGCCTTCGGAATATCCGGTCCGCCCTGGGTATGTTGGCCTACAGCACAAAGCAGGACCCGCCTCAACCCAACCCCCGTCAAACAACCATGTGCACATAACAATTAATCACATAACAATCCTTAACCAGACAAACCGTCTAACAGATCACATAGCATATCAACATCCTAACCAGGATTCCGACCTAACCGGTCACTAGCATAACATTACCCTATATACCGGGTACCGACCTTAACCAGGTCACTAACATAACACCATCCTAAATACCAGGATGCAGATCTAGCAAAGCAATAACATAACAAACAATACCCGGATTTCCATCCGATAAAGGGCCGGCCTTGGTGTCGTAGACCCTGTCGATATAGTGAGGATAACTCATCTCCAATTGCCGACTGAAGAGATAAGACCAAGCTGCTCCGACCACCGACACGAACTTCACCACAGAACACTACCAAAGAACCAATTCCATAAATACCAAAATTACCAAAATACCCTTGGAAGTCAAACTGGTCAACTCTTGGTCAAAGTCAAAGTCCTCAGTCAAAGTCAACCCTCCTGGTTGACTCTACTCGCCGAGTCAAAGAAGGTTAGGGGTTTTGCGATCTGACTCGCCGAGTCCAAGAACAGAAGAGGTTAGGGGTTCTGCGATCTGACTCGCCGAGTCTAAGAACAGACTCGCCGAGTCAAAGGCAATCTTCAACAGACTCGCCGAGTCCAAGGCAATCTTCAACAGACTCGCCGAGTTGTTCTTCAACTCGCCGAGTCCATGCACATGTTCATACAACTCGTCGAGTACACCCATGTGACTCGCCGAGTCCCTTCAGTTCTCAATCCATTCAGAGGCTTTTCGAGCCATGCAGGGGCTCCAATCCATAGATCCACTCTTCTACAGCCTAACCTTCACATAAAGTTGCAAACTTTACGTGAAACCAAGGAGATATAAGCCCAAAACACTCTAGGGTTAGGGCTTATGACAAAGAGGCTTCACCACTAACTCTTAAACAGGAGCTTTATGACATTAAGGACCATCACAAGCTTAGATCTGTAGTAGCAACCTTAGATCTAAACTCCAAACCCGAAATAAGTCTCAAACAAGCTAAGGAACTCCAAATCAACCACCAAAGATGAACCCAAAAAGGAAATAGCTTAAGATAATGGCTCTTTACCTCTGAGAAGTGCCCAAACTGATGTCGATTCCAAATCTTCACAAGCCCCTTGATGCTAGCCTCTAATTTCTCAAGCTACTTCCACCAAATTCCTCTTCCAAGCTTCAATCTCTTCAACAATGAAGTCTCACACGAACTTAGGGTTTTCTGGAACTCTCTGGGGGATTAGGAGGCTGGGAAGAGGGCATAAAGTCCTTTAAATAGGGTGCAACCCTCGGGATTAGGGTTTTCTCATTCCAGCACCAACTCATCGAGTCCAAGCCGCCGACTCGGCGAGTTGGCCACTTAACCCTCGACAGATTCCCGCTCCGACTCGGCGAGTAAGCGGACCTACTCGTCGAGTCCCTTTCCCAAATTTACACTTTTGGCCCTTCATTGAACAATTGAAATTTGGGATGTTACAACTCTCCCCCACTTAATTTAGGCTTCGTCCTCGAAGCCTACTGCAGTATACGCCTCAGAACGAACCCCTTGCACTGCAGACTCCGACTTCCCAATCAACTCATACTCTTACAAACCCTACTTCTGCATCTCTCTTAAAATGGCTTATTCTCACGTGGCATCCTTGCCACTACTCCAAACCGATCATCGGCCTTTCAACTCAATAGCACCACGAATTAACCACGAATCACCCGATAATACTAACCCTTCATATCAGGGACACGCTTCCGCGCCCTGCAACGCTAGATTCCACAAACACCCACTGCGCTCTGCCAAAACACTAATCCATCTTCCTTCGCCCAAAATTGGCGATAACCCTGATAATTTGCAACCTGGAACGAATCCTCATGATGGAATACCCCAGATTGGAATACCTCCACATACATAACTAAAGCCTACAACCATACTCGGAACTAAGGACCTTGTCCTTGCGTCACCCTCGAACCCTTTGGTTCTACACAACGGAGTGCAACCCACTCACACCTCCCTATCACGATCTCTAGGTCCTGACCTCCGACTGTAATATCCTTATACAGTCCTCAGCACCGGTCCAGACTACTCCCGAATCTGTTAACCTGCTGTCTCACCTTCCTCTGTCCCAATCTCCAATCTGGAACTACTTTCCTCCTCCTCTTCCAAGGAGACTGAAAACATGCCTGCGCATCATCCAACATTGCCATAACCTCAACGGGCATCCAACCCGTATGTGCTTCCATATATCTGGTACAATCCCAGTGCTTACTACCAATAACCGAAGCACTTTCGATCATCCTTTTACTCTGCTGCCTCCCTCTCAGAGGACCCACACTCCTTCCGGAGTTACATACATTTCCTTTCCAGGAAGTCTACTCAACAACCCTTACTGCACCTATACGTGTCACTGAGCTAAACTCCACTCTACACTATCCATGTAGAGCAACCGCTATTCTCGAACTCCCATATACTCCGAATCCGATCACCTAACTAACAAGGCCCACGCACGGCCTCCAGCCAACTCCATCGTCATGATCAATACTTGGGGCTAGACCATATCGATTACTATTTCATGGCGACATATTCACTCATTCTCCGCATACAGATCTACTAACACATCCAGAGTCTTCAGCATGACTGGACCGCCTTACCAGGCCTTCAGCCTATCTAGACCACTCTCAGAACCTTCAGCATGTATGGACCGCCCTCCTGGGCCTTCAGCCTGTCTGGACCATTCCCCGAGCCTTCGGTCTGACTGGTACGCCTTCCGGCCTTCAGTCTATCCGGACCGCCCAAAACTGTCGTACGCCATCCTGAACCATCCTTTCCGGGAATCTCTCCCATGCAATCTGTTCTAGCCCTCTTAGGGGTTCTGAACTCCAGTTCCGTTCCCGGAATCCTTTCCATGGCCTAAACCCAGGCCTCACATCGACCAACTATCTTACCTGAAATCATGGTCTGTTCCCTGCCCCACTTGTCTATCACTTGCTCCAATCATGCCACACTCTCAGCTAACAACACTGATGAATCTAAACAGCTAACCAACCCTGAATACTTGTTGCTTTCACCGGAGAATTTTCCAATTCTCCCCCACTCAGTGTACCAACTACTAACTTCCGCTGACAAACCGGCATAACTCGATCGACTTTACTTGATAAAGTTCCCCCTTCACCAGGAACTAATTCTCTCCGGAGTGAGCAACCTCCACAGGTCACTCTCCCGACATCGCACATCCCGAACTCCAAGGAAGTTCAAATCCCAACTGAACACTTCTCGCAACGCAGTTGCTATTCCAAGCAACGAGATCATATGCCTTATCTTTCGACCAAGAATCCTCCTGAACGCTAACCAACTACAACTCCTAACTACTAAGATCCTCAATCATACTACGAAACATGCGAAAAAGGCGAACAAATTTACGATACCACATAATCAGCAAATAACAAGATATCAAAAAAAGAAACATACCCGCAGCTGCATCCGGCTCTGCCCTGACCTCCTCTGCTGTAAGCTGGAAAGTGCGTTCCTGAGCCCTCGGAGGCTCCGCTCCACCCTGACCTCCACCCATAATCCTCAAAGTGGCCGGTGCTGGAGCCTGCACCGGTCTTGTAGCAAGCTGTGGACAGTTGACCCTCAAGTGTCCCACCTGATGACAATGATAACAGATCCTCATATCCTGAGCCGGGACCGACTGACGGCAGTCCCTCGCATAATGCCCCTCTTTCCCACACTTGCGACACGTACCACCGGACCTACAAACTCCGGCATGACCCTTCCCACACTTCTCACAAGTGTGGTTACTCTGACCTCCAACCCAAAAGTCAACGGTTTTGGACCGTTTCGGCGCCGGCTGCGACTGCACCGGGGCCTGCCTCTGCTCTCGCAACTGCAACTCCATCTCTAACTCCCGCCGCCTGGCGGCCTCCTGCAACTCTAACAAGGTATCACATCTCTGCGTGGACACAAACT